ATAGGAAGTTTGACCATATATTTATATGTTGGGTGGTTGGTCCAAAACAGAGGTTACAAAAAAGGCTCCAGGGGCTTGGCTCCATGTGTTGGAGACATGTGGAGAGAGAGAGAGAGAGAGAGAAAAAACACAACTCATGAAACGCGAGACCAAACCAAAAGCCTCGGTGAAGGATCAAACCGATGTTCATCGTGGTTGACCTGGGCTTTTGGTGCAAAAATCTTCAATATCACAATGGTTTCCGGCAAAGGCTATTAAATCGATGATGGTTCCTCAAAAAGACCTAGGAGCAAGAAGCTACTAGTAACAAAGGGCATCGCTACGAACGGAGCAAGAACGCTACAAACGGGGCTCCTGGCCTTACTACGAACGGAGCAAGAAGCTTGCCATGACCCAGTGTGAATGCTGAAACCTCCCCACACGGGATCCTGCATCCCGACCGACCTCACGACACACCCGACAGCTCGCGCACAGCTCGGCTTGCAAACACTCGGCGCACCTCACAGTGCAAGAGCAGCTTGCCCAAGATGTGGTCGCCCAGCAAGGAATGCAACTGAGACCACGCCTCGTTCTGCAGGAAGCTCTCGGTCGCGAGACGCGAATGGAACAGCTCCGATTTCTCCGACGCCGCCTGCTGAGCGCGACGGAGCAGCTCCACCAAAGGTCCCGCGCAACCTGATGGTGACGTTGGTGACGTTGGTCTTTTGGTCGCGGTTTCTGGACATTGACAGGGACGGAACTCCTGTGGTCTTCTTGCTTCTTCTTTTGTTGGGATGGTGCTCCAAAAAGCGGCGATCCAACCAAATTCAACACTCCGAGGATGTTGTTTGGATGCGACACCGTGCAAGCCTTTAAACCTATTGTACTGTAGGCGAACTTTGTCAAGACCGGTAGAAGACCTCTCACATAACCAGCAAACATGATGATTTCATATGATTTCTCATTGGGTCTGACCTGACTCTCACAGTATGGTTGACCTGGTTTTGCAGTGTTTGCAGTGTAGTAAAACCCGTAAAACAATGGTTCTCTAGCAAAGACCATTACCCTAAGAATCCGAACGGGCTCTCCATGGCACACCTCCCCATCCCGATGGCGACCCCGGTCGGTCGCCCCGCGACCGCTCGGACTCGGACTCCCAGCTCCGGCCCGGCCGCGCCGCGGCCGCGGAGGCCCGGCGAGGTGGCGCGAGCATCGACAGGGAGACTTTCTCGTGTCGAGGTCGCTCCAGCCACTTCACCTGAGGTCGACGCTCGCGGAGGTCGACAGGCGCGATTCACCGGAGGAAGTCTCGGATCGTGCGGATCGACCGAGCGATGCGACCGTGCCCGAGATGGTCGAACGGTGCAGGTTGTCTATGCTCTGGGAGTCACGGGGAGCTGAGTCAGGGAACTTCCTTTACTTCAGTCAGTCTATATATGGTCGAACTGGACCTCTAGGGTATGGTTGACTCATTCAAATGGTCCATGGTGTGCGAAATGCCAACCACATAGAAGCATCAAACACAGGCATGTCTGAGAGATTCTGAGAGCAAGCACATTGATACTCGGCCTGGTCAGAAGGGTCATGGCATTGTTCGTTCAGCCCAAGAATCCACTGGAACAGTTGCTTCTCGTTCCCTAGGCTTCCAACCACCATTGATTCAATAGTCTTTGCCGAAAACATCCGAAAACCCTTATTGTTGTTAGGATTTTAGACTACAGCACCAGGTCAGGTGGCTCCTCCAACCACACGCCATGTGCCTTGGTTTTCTCCAGGGCTCTCACAAGTTCCGAGGCAAGCCCGAGCCACGCCGCCCAAGAAACCAACGGCTTACCCAAACGCAACCCTGGACCCTCCTTTCGGTACGGGGCCGGGGGTTCCCCGAATCCTCGGGTCCAAGGGATCTGAACCAAGGATTCGGTTTTGACCTCTTTGGACCGGGAAAGGCCTTGAGACCGGAACTCGCGTAGGCGGGTAGGCGGTTTCAACTCAAAAACCTACGACTCGTTCAAGTTGTTGAACATCAACATCTGAAACCACCCAGATCTGCCAAGAATCCGAGACCAAGTTGATCTCATCTACCCAGATGCTCCGTGAACGACGCCCTGAAACTGGTCCCTCAAAAAACTTGGGGATTGGTGAAGAAACCCCGAAACCCCGACCCCAAGGGATTCGGGTCCGACCCCGGGCCCAGGGACTGGCCCACGGGTCACACACTGAGCATCCACTTTCTCCTCGCCTCGCGGCACAGCGTCCGCAGCGCCGGGGAGGCGTCCAAGCGCTGCATCCAAACGCGTGCCGCGTCGAGGTTCGTGGCGTCCAGCTCCTCCTACGACGCGTCGTGGTGTCTCAGAGCGTTGGGGATGGAGGATGGAGGTGAATGACACTTCTGGCTCCATCCCAACCGACCTCTGGCGGAGAGAGCCGGGCCAAACCCTTCGTAAAACAGTGACGAACGTTGGAAGCCTCAAAGGCTTCCGTGGCCCCCCCGGTGTGAATGGTGGGTCTAAATGAAAAAACAGGAAGATCCTTTGTTTCGGCAATCCTTTTGTGTGGGAAACACGCCAAACGGAGAGTTGGACTCAGACCAAAGGTGGGATATGTGTCGAAGAATCTGACTTTTAGGGTAGTTGGATACAGTTTTTGCTTGTTTTCGGGGGTGTTTTTGGTTGTTTTCAAGAGAACCAATTCCGGGAGCTGGATGCTGCGGTGGTGTAGTTTCAGTGGATATGCTGCAGCATTGGTGCTCAAAGGCAGCGAACGCTTATAGAACCTATATCTACCAGCACTCTCCAACAGCTCACCACTTGAGACCTCCAAGGCCCATCGCAAGCCTCTTTAGGAAGACCTGTAGAGTTGGGTGCTGGTCACTACCGCTCTATATGTTTTAAAAGGTACTTGGTAGTTACCGGCACCATGGAGGTCTCCGTTACCCAGACCTAGGGTAACCATTTTGGCCAGACCTCGGGTTCTGAACACGTGTTTTCAACGCAAAGGATTCCTGTCCCTTTCGAAACTGGGAGATCGATGGGCTGTTAGCGTGAACACATGCAAGACGGAACGCACGCACCACCGCGTTCGAACAAGACGTTGCCCGCATCGGAAAGCATCGTTGGGCACATGGCGTTTGAAGAAATGACCCATGCAGCGAACGGGCAAACCAATGTGTGTGTGTGCGTGAAGAGACGGAGACCCCCCAGTTCGAAGCAATCCCTTCCCCGTGGTAAAATACTACAGCAACCACCCCAAAAGACGACTATAGAAGACACCGTTGTAGATGCGACTTCGCTTCTTCTCAGCATCAAAGAAACCGAACAAGCGGCCTTCACGAAGTGCCACAACGTCTTCGCGGACTGCATCTTGTTGAACTCGTCCGTGCTCCGGCCAGGTCCGCCCGCCGAGGAACCGGCGGCCGGTCGCGCCGGTCGCGGTGGCCGCGCCCGGCGCTTCTTCGCCATGGCGGCATGGGGAGTGAAGAGTTGGTGAAGAGAATGAGGTTTTTAATATGACCAGTCTTGTTTGTTGAGTGGTTGGATTGACTGGGGCGATTGTTGAGTGGAGGATTGACTATTGATTATGAATATCTTAAAGTATGAAACTTGAATCACAGCAACTGATCACACTCCACTTCTTTTCCTACCCTCCTAAGCAGTAACCCTCCAAACCGGGTAGTAGAGATACAACATGTTCTTAATGCTAGCAAAAGGTCCCAGTTGACACCAGCAGCTGTGCGAGGGATACAAGATGCAATCACGCTGGCTGATGCCTTTTCAACCAACCAGGGTCATATCGAAAGTAAAAGAACATGACCAACCAGGGTCTTTTTGCTCTACACTCCCGAGAACTAACATAGACCCTGACGTCCTGGCCCCCTGGAAGATGGTTTTCCTATGTTTTCCTCTACCAACCAGTGGTCTTCAGGGTCCATGGCATCGTCTTCCAGGGTGTAGGCTTTAGCTAGAGCGTCTTTGGTCCAATTCATCACCCGAAGAATCCGAGTCCGGGCTCTCGGCGAGAGCAACCTTCTCCCTCGAAACGCAGGGGTCCGGACCCCTTCACCAAACCCTATGTATTTGAGGGTCCGGATTCCAAGACAACATCATGGTTCATCCTGAAGAGGACTTCAACCCTAAATGTCTGGGTATGTCTGGGCAACTCCAGTGTACCAGGACCATTTTCCGATGTCGCGGTGCCCATGTTCTTTCGCTACCGAAGGAATGAAGGGACTCACTAGCCCCTTTTTGTGGTCTTCATAGGTATAGCTCGTCATCCTTCACATCACCCCCAAGCCTACAGGATCTGATCAACACTGTCAAGGTCCGCTCCAATCGGCCCACATCGTCGCAGTTGCCTGCCCCTGGACAAGGAGTACTGAAAGGAGAAATCCATGGTATGCCTGGTGCCGCCAGACAGTGCGCCCCGCTGTTGCTGGACGGGGCCTTCATTGTTTGGAGGGCTTTGGAAAGATGACATGCCCCGGTCTCGTCCAAGCAAAAGAAGTCCAGTGGGATTCGACTTGAGACTTGACATGGAGGCGCAGGCCATGCCCAGTTGGAAGGTGTGTTTTTTCTTCTACACACGAGTGATCTTGGTGCTTGCATGATGTTCCATGTTCCTTTTCCGGGAGTGTGCTTTTTCTTTTGGCACCTACACCAGTCCTTGTTCTCGATAAAATCCGGACAAGCAATCCATGAGCCGCCAACGATGAACATCGATTCCCATAAATCCATAGCTGGACCCATGCTGCGGCCATTTCAACCCGATCTCGATGCCTACGTATGCCTACAAGACTATCACTAGTCACTGTATATCCCGGTCCCTATGTTCTTTTCGCTGTCATAGCATGATCCTCAAAAATCTTCAACCCCCCTTTATAGAACAATGAAACTGTGCTCCAGCCACTGGTCTTGGCTCCTTTGTTGCACCTTTGCCAAGCAAGCAAATCTGTGTCGAGATCTCGACGCGAGAGCCTCGATCCAAAACTAACGAGGTTCCGACGGGTTCTTTGTCACGCACCGCACCTCCTTCTGGCCCAAAGAACCTTCTCCTTATCTCCGCACCTGCACCATGTGGACTGCAGTCCAACGCACCAGCAAACGCCACCGACTTCGACCGAAGTTCGTTCCGCTCCGTCCCTGGGACCCTGCGGGAGTGCTCTCAAAGCAACTATGACACTCTTAGACACTCTTAGACACTCAGACTATGGTGGAGTGTAGACATCTGCAAGGTGGATAGCTGTGAAGGGATGAACCAAAGGATACATGCGATGTTTGGTGGAAAGCTCTTATATAAGAACCATTTGGGCGCCCTTCGGGCCGGCCATCAAAAGAATGGCCGACCTGGTTTCCAGTAAGGTTGTCAGAATCCTTTTGACAGCCTCCGAAGAGAAGAACCATGAAGGATGCCCTAAGAGTCTCCAGTCAACGGAGTTCCTGCGATCTCTACGGAGTTCCTGGGGTTGACTTTCGCAGTCAAACCTAAGAGTGAGCTTTGACCGTCTCGGCGCACATGCGAACTCTCCTAATCTCACTGACGAGCTCTCACCGGGCTGGGTTCGGGTTTTGAATGAGAATTGACCCGAACACCGGGAACAGGCGTTCACGCCCTGTCATCTCCAACCAAGAAAAACGACCAAAGCCACAAAAAACAGGGCCAGTCGCAGTGAGGAGTCCCCTCCAAAACCTCTGAGACCGACCTGCGCATGCCAAAACACCCCCAGTCAACGTCTCCTCCGTCGCTCCGAGTCCCCTGACACGTATTGGTTTTGATGAAACTCCGTGAGCCACTCGAGAAACAGTTGACGGTGCATCAAGGGCTCCGACAACTCCTGGGCGCCAGCGCGGTCGCGGGGGTCGCGCGTCGCGGGGGGTCGCGCGTCGCGGATGCACTCGGCACGAGCGTGGCGAGTGGCAAGCAGGAAGCTTCGCGCGATCTGAGTTCGAGCCCCAACCCAAAACACTTCCTCCACATCCACCGGAACTCATGGGGGCCCATCGTGTTTCTTTTTGGAGGGCAAGATAGGGCAAGTGAAAAAGACACAGTAAATCATAATGTATAAGCTATCTGAAACAAGAACAAAATACACACATCACACATCATGAGGTTCTTTCAACTCAGAACTCAAGGTCAAAACCTTGATGTACCATCAAAAAAAATCAAAGGAGCTCAGCAACCACACGTTTCAAACGTCCGGGAGAGGCCACCTGGCTGCTGAACTCACTTCCCAACCCACCTACCTCTCGACCTTCGGCTTCTTTAGCCCCCAGGCCCCGGAGTCGAAGAGGAGCCTCGCTCGGAGCCGAAACGGCGGGGAGCGGGTGGAGACGGCGGCGGCTGGAGACTTTGGGGTGAAGAAGTGCAAAGCAAAGGCCTCCGCAACGAGGAACCTGTTGCTTGAAGCTGGAGTCTGTCTCTCCGTCCATGTGGGGGGGGAACAGTTGATTTCGGCTTACACCCTAAAAACGACTAACATGGTTACGTGGAGAATGGCCCCGAAAGGAAGACCATTTTCGACTACAAATAGGTGGTGCCATCCACTTCCATGTTAGTTTTCGGGAGTGTATTTTAAATTTGGAGCCCAAAAGAATGGACTGCGCCCGATGCAAAGCTCCCTCTTTCCGTCCCTTTCCCCCCCCCTTCACACGAACCTGTTCTGGTGTCTCACCTGTTTCTCCATGCGGACCGTGACCGACCACTTACCACCAGTCTCTTTTCACTGCTCCCTACAAGTCAGGAGCTGACCTCACTGGAGATGGTCATACAACCACCCATATAGTTCCTGAGGTCAAGTCGACCAGCTTTGGACCTACCTCAGACTGGACGGCTGTGGCTTGCTCCGCCCACCTCGCGGAGGCCGCCGAGCGTAAACGGCTCACGAAGTCCAGCTCCTGCCGCCCGAGCCGATCGAGGTGACCGGGCCCCGGCGGCCAGTTGGAGCGACCGACCGAGGCGCTGACCACGTGGTGCGGTGTGTTGGATGAGATGAAGAAGCTGTGAAACATGGGCTGCCGTCCCCAAGCAGAAACCGGTTGGAAGGTCTCGGAAGGCCTCGGGAGATCGGAAGATGGCTTAGCTTCTTCTTGATCTTGAGATCGACCTGGGAACGCCCCAAAACGACTAGTGACTAGAACTGGTTGTTCCAACACGGTGCCAGCTTGAGATCCGGAAATGGCTGGGACTGGAGCCAAGGAAGGTCCAGATCTGCTTCAAACAGACTTCCCAAGGAGGTCTGCTCTTCGCACACTTTCAGGTCTCAGGTGGTGAAGATCACCTCTTTCAGCGACGAAAAACCGATGGATTCCTCCTCCAACGGCCTTCCCTGCTCGTTGACATCTTGCGGGCTACCGGCGACTCGTTTGCCGACTCGTTCGCCTCAGCTAAGGGCACTGTGAAGACCTGCACACCTCTCTTCAAATTCCGGACTCTCCAAATGCCCAAGGATTTGCTCCATGACCGTGCCAAAGAAGAAAAAGGCCTGGGCTTCACCGCGGCCCCGTGGGTCGTGGGGGCTTCAAGAGCCCGCCAACGGCGAAAGCACCGTGCTCTCCACCCGTGCTGATCCCCTGCCGTCCTCTCGCATGAAGAGAGGACTTGGCATCGAAAAGGCATCTTGCGACGACATCACTGACCTCGCGCCAGCGGAGACCGCAGTGCGTCCGTGTGTTTGCGGCACGAAAGATGGACCGTTGATCAAAGACCCTCGTTCATCAAAGACTTGAGGTTGTAGCTGCATGCTGAACAAGATCATGCAAATGAGATTCTTTGTCCCCCAAATCATACAGTGAAAACTCTTCTTTAAGCTGTACCTAGCACTTCCCGTCTGGGTGCGGAGTAGGAGACCTGTTTACGTAGGATAGGCTAGCCAGGACACCCAGACAGGATGATCCTGGTACGTCCGACCGACGTCGTTGGGCACGGCCGTCGCGACCGGTCTGACACGATCCTGCGTCGCGTGAAGCGACCGGTGCTCCTGCGAAGTGGGCTCCTGACAGTTCGGAGTGTCCATGGAAAATGGCTATATATCCCTCCACCTCAAAAGGATCAGTTTTGCAGAAAATGGGTGTTCCAATAGTTGGTCACAACCCCCCTGAGCAGCTCAACACGGACCCTGGCGGTCCGTCCCGGGCTTCCCCGGCGCCAGGACCACGGCGTCGGCGACGACGCCGAAGTGCGCCCCGAGCCACACGAGCCGGGTGAGCCTTGGGAGGGTTGAGAGGTGTGGGTGACAGGTGTGGAGTTTGGTTGGTCGTTTTTTGGTTGATTGGTTCTTGAAGCTTCGTAACCAAAAAGTCAGCAATGATCATAATAATCACAACCTCCAGAAAGGTTCTTCTTTTGTACCTACCAGGGAGGTTTTGATGAAGATACATAGCATATGCATTTTCTTTCGGTCTTTCTTCTGTTGCCGGGATGGATGTTCCTCCATCTTACCGAACTATAGAACCAGCTTCGAATCACCCGCGCATTTGTTTTCTCAAGCGACACGTGGAATCCAATCTCAGGCCGCCACTTGAGCTCCAAGGGGAGCTGGAGGCACAAATACCCCAGGGCAGTGATCTTTGCTGCCTCCAAAACGACGTGTGGCACGTCAAATCGTGACCCGCGGTCAAATCGACTGGAGTTCATGGCACCTGGCATCATCCGTTCATTCGCAGATGGCTGTGGGTCAAAACCAGATCCAGTCTGACCCAGGTCCAAATGGGGTCCTTTATACCTCATGAAGGAGTGTTTTTCCATGACCAAATCCAGTCAAATGAGGTCCAACTGACCTGTAGGGTGGGGTTCTTTCTCACCCCCAAAAAGACGTTGTTTCAAGCGTTTCTTCCGCCCATCTCGTTCTTCGTTCCACTTCCGCTCGTGCCTTGGGGACGCCACACCCCGCACTTCCGGTCCGATCCGCCCGTTTCGGACCGCGGCGCCACGCGGCGCCGTGCACGGCCTCGGTGCCGTCGGAGATGGTGCCCAGCTCCGCGTTCTTCTGCCGCGCCGCCGTGACGTTCTTCAAGTCGGGCGCCTGCGAGCCGAGAGTCGCGAAGCGGCGCGAAGGAGAGCCGGAGAGCTCGAGAGATCGAAAGCGCGAGCGCGAGCGCGGCGCGGAGCCGCAACGAGCTCGTTGGGGGTGAAGGAAAGAAGTGAAGGGGGCGGAGCTGCGGAGGGCGGTGGAGCGGTGTGGGTGGGGGGGCTTGGTGGTCTGGCTGGGAATTTGGGGGATCAAAGGTGGCAATCAACAGCTCATACGGCTCATGCGGGTGGTCAAAAGCTAGCCGCAGTGGGTTGACAAGTCCTTTTCTTGGGGGGAAGGGAGGGAAGCACGATGTTCAGTCATAGGCATAGTTGTCAGATGTTGTCAGGGTGGTGGGTGGAAGACCCATGCAAACGCCCCCCGCTTTTCCTTTTCGAAGAAGCGCCTCCTCCTCTATACTAACGGACGGACCGGTGCTGATCCGAAGTTGAATCTTCCTCACATCCCTCATGACCTCGTCGTAAAATGAGACTCATACCCTTCCACCACACTGGCTTTTAGGGCACCAAAGACAGCTGGAAACCTGCTCTTGACTCAAGTTCTTGAGCAAAGTCTGATCTTTTGTTCTGGTGTTCTGGCACTTCGACTGGTTGAAATTGGGTCACTCGAGCTTGCATGTGTAGCACCCTCGGAAGGCATTGCAATTGCACATGATCACTATAATCTATATGCTATATATCTATAAGCTATATATCAAGACTTCGTCCAAGTACCACACACCTCCCACCCTGCAAACTGGTGAAAGCGGCTCCTCCCGGACTCTCAGACTCCGACTCCCGTTCTGGTTGCACAGCTCCGCTCCCGTTTCGCGCCGCTTTCGCCGATCCCTCCTCGGGCAACTGGGACAGGAGCTGTTGCGCTCCCTGAGGCCTCGGTAGGTGCGGACTGATTCGACGAGGCGACGAGAGGTACGGACGTGAGGGACGTGAGGGTCGCTGGTCGAAGGGTTTTTCCAAGGACCTGACTTCAAGGTCACCTGTAGAAATGGGACATGACTCATGACTGACAATGATCCCATCACAAAAACAGGCAAGTACTTTGTACTGTACCCCGTTATGAAGTCCAAAGACTATATATTTTGACTTGTGGAAGGTAAAGGAAGTTCCTGAACTCGGGTCACCTATACAGTTCATTTTATGAACCGTCTTGGACTCCCAGGGGTTCTCCCCATGTGCTACGACGCTACGACTCGCAGTTCAGGGGGTGCGAAAGACACACCGGTGTCCTCGGCCCGGTTACCGAGGGCCGCGCGCGCCGTAGCCCTGCAAGGACTGGTTCAGTTGCACCGAGAGCTGCTTCGCCTGGTCAGATGGGCAGATGGGCCTGGATGGGGGGGCAGAGCTGCGATGGAGGCGCTCAAATAAGGGTGGATTCGATGTTAAACTCCGCTGAAGGCTGAGCTGAAGCTTGTATAGCGGCCCCAACGACCTGTCTAGACCTTTGAGTCTCAGCAAATCAGTTTCTATTTTATAGATTGGATGTCTTCCTAGATTGACCCCATCTTCCAGCAGAAAGATGTACATTGAGCTACACGGACTGGACTTCTTTTCACGGCCCGGTTCCGGGTCTTTTGCGGGGCCCGAACGGACTGCCCAGGCAGCGCGACGACGCAGTTGGGGGGGAATTCCATCAGAGCCGGGGACGCTGAAACTTCTTCCTTTTGGTGAAGATAGGGACATGGGGAGACTGAATGGCCACAATGGTCAGTGATTCCTTACCTGACCCAGTGCATCCCAGTTACCACTATATAATGGAGCCAGGGATTCGTTCGGTCTATGGTGTTAGTCTTTGGAACCACTGGGACTCCCAGCGACATCGTGGTTTGCCTGGATGGTCTGGGTGAGTGTTCTTTCCGCTGATGTCTCGTTGTTCTCCCTTGGATCCCCACATCCGAATTCCCCCCATTCCCGTCACGGCAAGCGCAAGCGCTGTGCGCTGTGACCTGCAGGTAGAGCCGGTCCAAGGCCATGGACCTCCACTAGCTCGCGCAGGGCGCGGGGGGGATGGAGCAGACGGAGGTCAGATCTCCCAGATATGGCATCCCTATGGGCACTTACAGTAGTATGGTCATATACCAGGACCCTCAAGGGTGGTTAATGGACACCCCGAATTCTCAGCTGTTTGGGGCTATTATACCAGGACACACCAGGACCCGACACCGTGGGGGTGTCTATTTGCACCAAACAGCTGTGATTCGGGGTGTCCATTAACCACCCTTGAAGGTCCTGGTATATATGGCATATTTAACCTTACATTTTGGGGTGGTTTCAGGATGTTGCACTTAGTCAATGTCACTGAACATATGCCACACAATGGATGTCCGGGTGTTTTTCTTTAACTTTTTGTTTTTGGGGTGAACCGAACATAAGAAGGAAGTTCCTCTCATTTTGGGGGGGTAGCTCAAAACAACACCTTCGGGGTTCTTACAGTCTGAAGCGTGATCTAGTGCCTGTGTCGTTTTTTGGTTGGAATTATTGGGATAGCTCCTGCCACTGCCACAGTCCTTGTAATTGAGCTACCTCCATCAAATGAAGATTGTCACCCAAAAGAACCAGTCAAGAAGATGTCTACCTTTTTCTCACGCTATCCAAGATTCTTTATACAGCTTCTGAACGACATTCTCACCCCGATGAGCCTCTATGCAAGCGAAAGACGTGGGGAACCACCCCCCCAAGAAAGAACAAACACATACACACCATCACCCCATTTGCATCCATTTGCACCCACTTCACCGTGCTTCAACGGAACCCCCGTCGTTTCACGACGAGACGAGGTGACACGAGACACGACCCACGTCTTCGTCCGACCGAGACAAGACGGTCACGACGACGAGGACGAAGCCGCGCTTGGACTCCGGTGGCTCGAAGTCGTGCATCTGCGCGTTGAAGAACCTCAGCTGAGCGTTTCTCCGGAGAGATCGGCCTGGGAGGTGGGTTTGGCGGTAGGGATGGGATGGGGATGGGGGGGATGCGGATGGGGATAAGAATGAAGGAGTCTGGAAGGATGCGGAAGGAGTGGAGGCAAAGATCAGGCTGAATGGGTCCAAGAGTGGACGCTACTAACAAGAAGCTACTAGGGGCTCCTGGCCTTACTACTAGGAACAAGAAGCTACTAGGAGCTTTTTCGTCAGGCTGGTGCTGAAATAGCTAGCTGTCGGGTTTGGGGTGGCCTAACTGCCTGGAACGAGTGGAGAGTCGATGGAATGTCCACCAACACGCGAGACTCGGCGCTCGCGGAAACAACGGCTCGCAGCTAGTGCGTATGAGCCGTTTGTTTCGTCCCATACGTAGCTGATGTACCCCCATGAAGAGGTATTTTCTATCTAATAACCACCCCAAACTGGGTGGTGCTGGTAGTAGCTGGCTTGTATGCGCAGTCCCATGGAGTGTGATAGGACATGAGGGACGTTTCGCCACTGTAGATCCATCCACCCGTCCAGTCCTTTCCGTCTCGACGCAGAAGGGAGCTCAGGGAAAAACAGTCAGCTGCAACGGCTTGGGAGGCTTGGGCTGTCGGCAGGTGGTCGCACCAGGTTCGTGCATTTTAAAGTTCCAACCAAATCGCTGATGGGTTCCATCTCGGCCCCGTTTCGGGGGGGAGGTGTTCACCATCCAAATCGCTGATGAGCACCCGGAAAAAACCGACATACCCGGATCTTCTCAGTCACCTTCTCCAGCCTTTTGGCTGGTGCCAATCCGGCTAAACCTCACGATGCATCGGACGATCCGCCTTTCCCTCTGGCCGGGTCGCTCTTGCGTGTACAAACGAAGGCAAAGGCCCGGCTGTGTGCGCCCGGCGCGCCTGGGGCCCGGCCGCCCGATGGTCAATGGCGTTTTGGAGTCCAGACGCTCCGTGAAAACAGGCCTTTCTCGGTCCCGAAGCAAACCGTGCGGAGCCCTCCATGTGAGGCTACGGCCCTGGTCCACTGGTCCCTGAACGCAGGGTCCATGAGTGGAGCGTTTCAATTCCATTTTGTTGGAGGCTAGCAGGAATGTTCAAGTTCTGTGTTATGAAACAGTTTCAGTCATGTCGGATGAAACATGTTTCCGCGCAAAAACGCTCGTGAATCGGAAGATCCAACGCCGCCGTCTCGTGTGGGCAGAGCTGGGCGGCGTTGAGGAAGCAACGAAGGTCGGATGGGTGGAGTTGACTCGCGCTGGTCGGATGGACGCTGGATCTTCCTCACGACCTCCAATCGAAGAAGCCCGACCTCCAATTCGAACGGACCCGAAGAGCTCGAAGAACACGCGTCGGACGAGCTCGGACCCGAAGCCAACCCTTTTAGCATTGGAGAAGGGCCCGGATTCTTAGGGAGCCTTTGGAAAGGGCCCCATTTGGGGCGCCTGAGGCGCCGGGCCCACTCCTTTGCGTGGCGGCCGCTTTGCTAATCCTCGAGGCCCAACGTGGCGCTCCACGCCGGCGCCACCCGCGAGAAGTCTAGAGAACTGCCACGGGTCTAGAGTCTAGAGGCATCCCCACTCAGAAGTTCCCTATGGCAGAACAGAACATCCCAAATCTAACAGATCTCAACAGTGCCTCACTTGGTCCCCCTCGCGGGTGATGCAACATTCTTGCCACCCTTGGCGCTCCGGAAACCTTGAACCAACTCGGACCTCTTGCTCCCAGCCTTCACTGGATGACGATGGTTTAGTTGCAGGCCTTTCTCCAAACTATAAGTCCTATGATAGTAATTTCTCAGACTGTCACAGATACTGGGACAAACCCACGCTTTTTCACCTGAAAAAACGCTCCACTCGACCCCGGGACCGTGACCCCTCAGCGCCAGCCTCCCGCCCGCCCTCGGTCTCCAGACCACTTGGTGGCCAAGGACGCAATGCCCTTGGACGCATCGTGGTCCATGCGACGATGCAAGCCCAAGTCCACCACGGCCACCACCTGCGGGGCGCATACCGCCGCCGGCGGAGGAAGAGCAAGCACACCGGGCCGGCGAACTAGCCAGCGATGTCCCGTGTCGGTGCCTGACCCGCTAAGCGGGTCCAAACCCCGAAAGACACCGAGAAAAACGGGGGGCGAATGCCATGCCGTCGCGAAGGTCATTCTGATTCAGGTCTAAAGGGTGGCCGCATCTGGGTCTCTAGCAAATCTCAATGGGTGACCTGGCAGCATGCTGATGGGAAATCTATTGTGGTTCCGTTATGGTGAAACACATGGGAATATAGGGTCCAAGAGGCAAAGGTAACTCTTCAAAAGAGGGAAGGACCTAAAACCCATCTAAAAACCGCAGGGAACCAACGGTAGAAATATACGAGCATGTTCTAAGACTTTTCTCTAGGAACCCCAGGAAATCGAAACCTCAATGTTTCAACACAACAATCCTGGTTCGATCTGGGTTGAGGCATGCATCATTTTGGCTGAACCCGGACGGACGACGTGTTTGACCGGACGGGTTCCGCAGAACGAGATTTCTCCAATGACTGGCGGCCTCAAAAGGAGGCGAGCGCCTTCGATTGGATTGTGCCAAGGATTCATGGCCCACCATTGCCTTTAAACGGTCTTTTCATCCCCAAGAACACTGGAGGATTTGTTACACTACACCCACCACGTCCGTCGTTCCCATCCTTTAATTGAAGGTCTTTGAAGGCGAACCGTGGAATTCTTTCCCCAGTCAGTCGTGATTGGTGACCATCTGGGTCGAATGAGGTCGAAGGTAGCCCAAAATCAGTGGTTGGTCGAGAAGCTACGAACGGGGCTCCTGGCCTTACTACTAGTACTAGGAGCGATCGGACGCTACAAACGGGGCTCCTGGCGTCACTACGAACGGAGCAAGAAGCTACGAACGGGGCTCTTGTCATATCACAGGACGCACGGGAGAGTTGGTTGGTTCATGGACACCCCGTCTGGGGCTATCAATAGACCAGTCACCTGGCTAGACTACCCGACTACCCAGCCCACTACCTGGTTTTGCACACAGCCCTCATGCATTGGAGGAACCGGAAGACCCTCCTGCTTGGCCCTGTTTGATCCTTTCAAAGCGAACCGAACGACCAAAGGCTGGAAACATCATGACGAACGTCCGCTAAGAAAGCGAAAGCTGCGGCTTCGTTGGGGCGTCTGTGGCATGTACAGGTTAAACCAAGGACACGCTGTCGTGCCCTGGATGTATGGAAGGCCCAGTGAAAGTCTTCGAGGTGCAACATGACCAACTGCATGCGAAACTTGTGTTGGAACATGGGGTGGTTCATCAATTGGAGCCTCCCCCCAAAAAAGATCCCAAGCACAGCACGGAATCCGCGATCCTCCGCAATCCTCGACTCCGCCCGTCGCTTTGTCCGGTTTTCTCCGGGCGAAGTCCGCGCTTTTCTTTGTCGCGGCAAAGGTAGGATGGTCCTGCATCGCTGGGTCGGCACGTCCGGACCCCTCTTGGGGCGTGCCTTGGGCTAAATTCCTCGCCCCACCCGGTGCTTTCGCGCCGGGCATGAAGCATGAATTCTCCACGGGCGAGCGAAAAGCACCTACTGCATCCAGATGGGGTGTTGGCATTCAATCGATTACCACTAATTCTATAGAGTTCGAGATCACAGGTTCAATTTCCAAGAAACATGGACAGTGAAATGCTTCTTCTGCGCCTGTTCGGTCTCATCTGGTTGAACCAAGAATCCGAACTCATCCATGTAATCTTTATCTCTGGACTGGGTGCTAGTGTCTTCATCCTTTGCCACAGGCCGACCGCATGAGTTTTGGGGGATCAGTTGACTGGGTCTTCCCTTTGATGTTTTCGCCCCTCCTTTCCACCAACTGTGACCGTTTTGCATCATCTATAGTTTCAAAGTAGACGCAGCAACTCTGATAGACCGTACCTCTGGTAGACGGTACCAAAGGCGCAAGATTGGAAAAACAACACTAACCCTAGAAGTCCAGTTCGACTATATTTTGACCGGCTGAAGTAAAGGAAGTTCCCTGACTCAGGTCCCTTAAAGACCATTCTTTTTATAGTCTTTGACTCCCAGGGCTAATGGAAGAATGAATCCGCATTGCAACTCCCGAACGTCATCCTGTCTGGGTGTCCAATAGACGACCTTAACCTATTTAACAGGTCTCCTACTCCAGGGCACCCAGACGGGAAGTGCTAGGAAGGCCAGATCTTATTCCAAACCAAACACGGACACCTCTGATCGAGAAGCGCACCCCCAACCAAAAGCTATTCCTACCTGGACCATCCTGTCTGGGTGTCCTGGCTGGACTACCCTGCACTACTCTCCGGGATCGAACACGCCAGGACACCCAGACAGGATGATCCTGGTACACTCCACCTCCCCTCAAGTTCACCCAGCCGGTACCCCGTCCGGAACCCATGCCTTCTACGATACCTACGGGCGGTCCCGGGCGTTCACGGGGCTGGTCCTGGGCACCTTCTCCAAAGCGATGAGCCGGGCTGCCTTGGTGGCGTCCGGATTGTCCATCCTGGGCGCCGCGGCGGGTGCGGCGGCGCCGCGCCGTCGCGACGTCGCGAAGAACCGTCCGAGTGAAGCCACTCGACGGCGCCCGTTCAGCGCCGCCCCGGTCGATCCGTGGGGCGAACGAAGGGATTCTTGCGATGGCACGGTTCGGTTCGTTCTCCGCGGTCATTGCTGGGGAGGGGGGGTGGTGGGTGCGCCGTATACGTCCATGTAACTAACCGATCGGCAAAGACCAATATCAAATATATGGGCTCGTGAGGTCCGAAAATAGAGATAGGCTCACCCACACTGTATGGAGGTTCGCCTTCTTGCCTTTGAAATGATCCATGGAGGTTCTCGTGCTTCGATCATGCATGAAACCCAACGACCAACGACCAACTCTTCCACTAACCGTTTGGTCTAGGATACCTGCATCTTCCAACGGTGCGGGCCGAACCAAACCACTGGCCTGTTTGGCTGGGTTTTTCTAGATGAACAGGCAGAACTCACGACCACGCCATCCAGGTCAGACGGGGGCCCCTTTTCGAATTCGGAGACCGACACCCGGTGGCCACGACCCCCCGGTTCGGTCGCTCGACCGGGCCAGGGGGGCTGCCAGGACCACTACCAGGACCGACACCGTTCCGAGGTGTTTAGATGGTTGCCGACACCCTAAGAGTGGCGATTCGGGGTGGTCCCAAAAGCCCCCGGACGTGGAAGGTTTCGGTCCTGGGGGTATGGATTGGACATCGTTTTCTGGTGCATGGCTCTCCCCATTGAACCTACACACTCTCCAAAGATGGTGCTCACATGATCTCACCATGATCACACACACCCATGTGTATTTCAACACACGCCCCATGTCGTCCATGCCCATGTCATCCACACCACGAGTGGTGTCGGTCTTTTAAAGCAAAGTTTCTGCTCACGGCGTGTGAGACTAGTGGACTGAACAACACGCACCGCGTAGTTCTGCTGCGTGCCTTGGGCATTCTTTTTCGTGACGAGCGAGCAACGGGCTGAAGACGGTGTGGATGGGGCAAAGAGGTTGGGACCAAGCTTGATGCTAATTAGGGTTTTTTGGGGCGATGGCATGGAAACCACTCAAAATCCCAAACCTGAAGCCCAACCAACCACTCATTCCTCATGCTGAGATCTCGCACCACTGAAAAGAATCCACACCAACACCCTCCCGCCTCGCCGACCCGCTCGCCGCGCGCCGCGGCATCCCGCGCGGCGCATGCGCATCCTGCGTGCCCCCGCCCCGCATCCGCGCACCTGCCAAGGGATAGAGCTTCTTGAGCCTTCGTTGGTCCATCCGACTGGCAGCTCCATTGGAGGGCTCCTCGTTCTGGCGGATGAAGCGCCAAATGACCTCCCTGAAGGCGGGAAGAGTTGGAGGTTGGGCGCCAACCGTGGACGGCGACATCAAACACAGGAAGAACCGAAGAGGTTCAGCCTGCTTGGTGGGATGCTTTCTTTTCTGTTTTTTCGAGTTCATTGCTTGGTGGGACGCGTTCGTTTCTTTTCTTTTTTTCGACATCAGCCAGCACTTGATGGTTGAATTCCTGGGGCTGCCTTGCACCAACTGGTGCCAGGTCCCTACATCACCAGGAATGTTCAAATGAGCCTACTTAAAGCTCAAACCCTCTTTGCATACAATGTATAGCCTGTAGATTCTTTCATTCAATGGCATGAAATGTCAAATCGAGATAGCCTGACATATTCTTTAACATAGCACCTGTCAAACTTGGTGGCCCTGTTAAAGCTTGCCGGCTTGCACAAACAGCACAAACCTACCTTGGCACCCCAGGTAAGATCTCACAGCCCATTTCAGCCATCTCACGCTTTCTTGTCTCAGGCGGGGCATTTTCAGGGGCAGGAACCTGTGCCTAACCAGTCCATGGGCCTGTTTCGACCCCGTTAGAGTTTGGAGGGTCCAACTACCTTCAAGAGGAGGTACTTGGAGGGAACATGTTTTCTTTACGAACACGGAACACATCGTCGGTCCATGGATATCGCACCTTCACTGTTCGGTAAATGAAGGGTCTTCGTCTTCCCCATGCCGTTCCGCCTTGAACAATGGTTGAACTGGTTTTTGTGATGTAAAATCCTTAGCTGGTTCGGGATTCAGCATTAATTAAATCATAGTAAATAGTGGTTGGAAGCCTAGCTAGGGCATGTTTTCTGTGAGACCGCCAGAGTGTAGAAAGGATCCAGTGAGACAGACACGGTGAACAGGACTTGAACTGGACCATCACACACGCTCGCTGGACTACCCAGCTCAGCCTACTCAATCTCCTCGGACATCCCAACAGCAGGCTCCGGATGGCTGTGGGTAATGTAGACTCTTGAGGACCATGAACCCCCCCCAAGCTTGAAGAGGATGTCCCATTCAAATTGGGGAGGCTATTAATCAAGAGTCTATACAGTGTTACAGCTTCAACCCCTAGACATCCTCACCGACCCAGCCGCCCTCACCGACCCCTGCCTTCCCCA